GTGGCTCCAGGATGCATCTCTGTGGAATGCGGTTGCTAATACAAATGAGCTTCCTCACGTCACAAGGCATCTATTATGTGAACAGTTGGATGACTCGCTGTGGGACTGGGCGGGCTCTCAAGGGGAAATTCATAGCCACAGTCATGCTTCAGGCTTCCCTTCGGAGAAGGCCTTTTCTCCACAAAAGACTCTTAATAAGGAAGATAATAATAGCCCGCACTTTCCAGGTGCCTGACACCGTGCAAAAGGATTAACTCACGGAATCCTCACAACATTCCATGAGGCCCTTTTAACATTAGCCCCGTGGTGCTGAGAGGCTCAGGGAGGAAAAATAACTTGCCTTTTGGGTTCCCAGCAAGTGAGGAAGAGAGCTGGGATTCCGGCCATGGTCTCTCACTCCAGAGCTTGGGCTCTTCACCCCATACACAAGTCTCCTTTCTCTCTGTAGTACTGACTTTAAAACGGTCTTTTGTTCATTTGCACATGGTACGTTATTTAAAAATAAAGTCAACTTTCTTCCTTCCCCTGAACCCTCCACTGCGTCCCGCCTCCTTTCAGAAATTCTCTGTGTATGTACACCTGCTATATGAATGACACCCATACTCTTGATCCACACCAAGGGCAGCGGACTACAGCGCATAGGCCATATTTCGCCCATTGCCTGTTTTTATATCCCCCGGGCTTTTACCTTTTTACATTTTTAACGGTTGAGAAAAAAATCAAAAGAACCTCTCACGACAGGAGAAATGACATGAGGTCGCACATCCACGAATAAAGTTTGGAGCACAGGCGTGCTCACCCAGGTGTTGTCTGCGGCTGTGTCCACGCTGCCTCAGCAGAGTTGAGTTGTTCCAACAGAGACCGTATAGCCCCCAAACTGAAAAGTATTTAGTATGCGGCCCTTTGCAGAAAAGGCTTGCCGATCCTTGCTGGACGCAGTTTCGTTCAACAGCGTGTCTTAGAGCACTTTTCTTGCAAGATGGCTGTGCTCCCTTCCTCCTTAACCATTTATTTCATAGAAAACAGCCAGACCACAAGCTGTGGGCCAGGCCCAGGTGAGTGGCTGGAGGTGGGCAGGTTCGTGCCTCCGCGCATGCTCATTCGAAGCGTTTCTTGAGCACCAGCTGCGTCGCCGGCCCCTGGCTGGCAGCCACAGCAGGTCTGGGCCTGCCCTCAGGAACCCACAGCCCGCGGGGGAGTCAGTCATTATCAGGCAGTCCCACCCAAGGACGTATTCAGGTGCCTTCTCTCACCCTCTGCCCATTACTCCTGCTTTGTTTTTATTTGTGACCCTTTTAAAAAGATTAGGTCATGCATTGATATGCTTGGAAAGTCAATTTGTGTGTGTATATGTGTAGACATACACCTTGACAGGTCTTTCTCGGCTACTCCCTTTCCTGCCTATCTTGTTCCTCCACCCCTTAAGCAACCATTTGTATTAGTTTTTTACATACCCTTTTAAAGTTTTCTTAAGCAAATATGTATATCTTTATCTTCCCTTCCTTATGCAAAATGTAGCATACACCCTATCCTACATTTTGCTTTTTTTTTTTTTTTTTGAAATCTCTATCCAGCCCAGCGGTTGAACACCGAAGGATGGGTAGGAGTTAATTAGGGGAAAGAGAAAGGTGTGTATTAAGGAAGAGCATTGCAGGCAGAGAAAATAACCTGCACAGCATGTGTGGAGGTCCTGGGGAGCCTGGCTTCCTCCAGGGTTGAGGGAGGGCCCGTGAGGCTAAAGTAAAGGAGGAGGGGCCTGTTCTGGCTGCCAGGGCCTGAAGGCCGAGGGAGGGACCATGGCCTTGATTCTAGGAGCACCTGGGTGTGGAGTTCTGCTCTGTTTCCTTCCATGCCCTGCTTTTCTCTGTGCATGTGGCCTTTATCACGTGTGGCGAAGGAGAGGTCAAGAATGTCCTTGAGAGCAGGTTATTGACTGTGGTTAATAATGAAAGAAAATTTCTCTCTTGAGCTCTTCCCAGGAGGTGTGATCTAGTGTCTAGGGGTTTGCAGGCCCGTACCTCCGGCCTCCATGGTCCTTACCAACCATGTGACACAGGGCAAGTCCACCACCACACTTCTTTTCAATATACACAGTCACGGTGCCAGCTACAGGGGTTTTGGTTTTTGTTTGTTTGTTTGTTTGTTTATTTATTTGCTACAGGGGTTTTTGGAGGCTAACACACACACTGTGCTCAGTTCCAAGGTAGCCACATAGTAAAGCGCTCAGTGTGAGGCAGTGACGGCTTCCATTTATTTTCACAGGCCTGGCTCGGGCTCCTACTTTGTTAGCATAGCTCACAGTGAAGACTTCTGATTCGGGAGCCTCATCACCTGGATCTGATCACCCCTCTGCCAGGTACTGTCCCACTGGGCAAGTAACTTATCCCCTGTGTCCCTGACTTTTTCCATCTATAAATGGAAATAATAATACCTGCCTCTTGTCTGGTGCTGAGGAGGAAATGAGTTAACATTTGTGTTGCACTTAAAATAGCGTGGCAAGTGGTGACATCAGTGGCTGGTGGCTATTATTGGTACTGTTATTGCACATTCTCTGCTTTCCCTCAGGAGGTCTCTGCATTACTCTCTGGGGACCTCGATGGCGCAATGGCAGTGCCACCGTCATTCAGGGGAAAAGTGCCCTTTGTTACCAGGAACACTTCACCTCTTCGGAAAAACACACTCCTACACGTACCTAGAGCAGAGGATTGTCTGTTTAGTCAGGAATGGTGATTCCACTAGGCTCCCCTTTATATGTCATTGGCCATATAAAGGCATGTGACTGCTCTTAACTGCAGGGAAGGCTGGGAAATCTAGAATTTTCCTAATTGTCTCTCTAGTAGAGGAGAAATACATAGTCACAGGGGTGCCTGGTAAATATTTGCAAGTGCATGAATCCATTTGCCAGTCTATCCATCACTCCTCCCAGCTTGCACGTGTCCACGTTGGGGTCGATTTGCAGAAAGTGACCCCTGGAATGTGGCAGAACTGCTGGCCTCCAACCTGAGGTGCTGGAAGAAAGCTTGTGAGGGACACAGTTCTAAAGCCTCTTGAGTTGTATCTGTCATATAAGGGAAACAATTATACCTCTTAGATCAAAGTCGAGAGGCAGGCTCTGGGAAGAGGGCCTAGAGCAGCCAGAGAAAGGCTGCAGAACCGGTTTTTTTCTAGGCAGGTCTTATTTACCTATTGGTCTGATTGCCTAGAGGACAATCCCATTGGCTCCTAGAGGCCTTCCAGGTCACCTCCTCCCATGGGCTGGGCCTCTCTCTGTAGATGGCTGGGCCCCCTTGGGCCAGGGAGTGCCTACTGTGTGTTGGAGTACTGTCCAGGGTGCTGGAGATAATAATAGGTAACGTTTATTTTGTGTTCACCAGGTGCCAGGCATTGCAGGTGCTTGGGTTAACTCATTTAACCCTCTCAGCAGCCCCAAGAGATGGGTCTGCGTCAGACCCATTACAGATGTGTGAAAAATCAAGTCTTAATTAAAAAGAAACCCTGATTTTTCATAATGTTCAGTTTTTTAAATTATGGATAGCTGGTATCTCAGAATAACGTGAACCTTTTCATTGATGGCTTATTTTGGTACCCTGATTTCTTTTTAATAGACTTTAACCTTTTTTTTTTTTTTTAAAGATTTTATTTACTTATTTGACAGAGAGATAGTGAAAGCAGGAACACAAGCGGGGAGTGGGAGAGGGAGAAGCAGGCTTCCAGCCGAGCAGGGAGCCCGATGCAGGGCTTGATCCCAGGACCCTGGGATCATGACCTGAGCCGAAGGCAGACGCTTAACGACTGAGCCACCCAGGAGCCCTAGACTCTACCTTTTAGAGCAGTTTCAGAGTCATAGCAAAATGGAGAGTATCCCCCACACCCCACCCATGCACAGCCTCCCCTGTCATCAACATCGCTCACCAGAGTGGTACATTTATTACAATTGATGAACCTCCACTGAGACATCGTTGTCATCCAGAGTTCATAGTTTACATAGTTTCCATACTCTTGGTGTACATTCTTTGAGTTTGGACAAATGTGTAATGACACGTATCTACCATTGTAGTATCATAAAGAGTAGTTTCCTGCCCTAAAAATCCTGTGTGCTCCATCAGTTCATCCTTCTTTCCCCCTAACCCCTGGCAATCATCGATCTCTTTACTGTCTCCATAGTTTTGTCTTTCCCATAATGTTATATGATTGGATTGATACAGTATGTAGCCTTCTTAGATTGGCTTCTTTCACTTAGTAAATATACTTAAGGTTTCTCCGTGTCTTTTTATGTCTTGAATAATATTCCATTGTTTGGAGGTACCAGACTTTATCCATTCATCTACGGAGGACGTCTTGGTTACTTCCAGGTTTTGGCAATTATGCATAAAGTTGCCGTAGACATCTTTGTGCAGGTTTTTGTGTGAAGAGAAGTTTTCAACTCCTTTGGGTGACTACCAAGGAGCATGATGAGTGATCAGATGGTAAGAGTATGTTTGCTTTTGTAAGAAAGTGCCAAATTGTCTTCCAAAGTGGCTGTACCATTTTGCATTACCACCTGCAGTGAATGGGAGTTTCTGTTTTTCCACATCCTCACCAGCATTTGGTGTCATAAAAAATGTTCTGGATTTGACCATTCTAATAGGTGTGTGGTGGTATCTTATTGCTGTGTTTTTTTGTTTGTTTTTAAGTAAGCTCTGTGCCCATCGTAGGGCTTGAACTCATGACCCCGAGATCAAGAGTCACATGCTGTACCAACTGAGCCAGCCAGGCACCCCTCTCGTTTTAATTAATTTGCATTTCCCTGATGACATATAAAGTGGAACATCTTTTCATAAGCTTATTTGTCATCTGTAGGCCACCCAGGCACCTCTCTCCATATAAATTTCAGAATCATTTTGTCAGTATTCCAAATTGCTGGGATTACATTGAATCTACAGATTAAGTTGGAAAGAACTGGTATCTTTTTTTTTTTTTTTGAGATGGGGTTTCACTGTGGTACCCAGGCTGAAATGTACTGGCTATTCATAGTCACGATCCCACTACTGATCAGCACAGAAGTTTTGACCTGCTCCATTTCTGACCTGGGCCAGTTCACCCCTCCTTAGGCAATCTGGTGGTCCCACCGCTCCCGGGAGGTTACCATATTGATGCTGAACCTAGTGCTGACACTGGATGGACATCCTCCTGCCTCCTCCTCCCAAGTAGCTGGGACTACAGGCATGTGTCACCTTACCCAGCTAGAAAGACCAGGTATCTTGACGACATTGTATCTTAACTGTTTATGAACATAGACTATCTCTCCATTTATTTAGTTCTTTGACGTCTTTCATCAGAATTTTCCTTGTATAGTTCTTGTACATATTTTGTTAGATTTATACCTAAATATTTCATTTTGGGGGTTGCTAATGTACATGATACTGAGTTTTTAATTTCAAATTCCACTTTGTCATCACTGGTATATAGGACAGCAGTTGATTTTTTATATTAACCTTGTATCTTGCAACCTTGCTATAATCACTTACTCATTCCAGGAGCTTTGTGTTTTCTTTGTTTTTATTTGATTTTTAGGATTTTCTATACATATGATCATGTCATCTGTGAACAAAGACAGTTTTATTTCTTCCTTCAATACGTATACCTTTTACTTTTCTTGTCTTATTGCATTAGCTAGGGCTTCCAGCATGATGTTGAAAAGTAGTAGTGAGAAGGGACATTCTTGCCTTGTTCCTGATCTTAGTGGGAAAGCTTTGAGCCTCTCAGATTAACCATGATGTTATGAAATTGTCTTTTCAATCATTAGTTCACCTAAGCCAAATGTTTGGAAGATGGTAACCTTTGCATCCACTTCCCTTGGCCCAATCCTGACCATGCAATAGGTTTTAAAAACATGTCTGAATGAATGAGTGAATGAATGACTCTCATTGTACAGTGAACAGCTAAACAGAACTTAGGTGCAGTATCTTCTGGGCAGATGTCAGCTCAGGGCTAGAGAGGCAGTGGGGGGCAGTGATTGAAAGCAGACCCGAGCCAGGGGCTGAGGTTCAAATCTGGTTCTGCTGCTTACCTGCTGGGTGATCTTAGTCAAGGGACTGCCCCCTCTCGGGACCTTGGCGTTCTCATCTGTGAAGTGGGGATAATAAAAGGACACCTACCCCATGAGGTGGTTGTGAGGGTTAAATGAGTTGGAATTGTAGAGTGTCTGGCACAAAAGCACATGCATAAGAGTTATCTAGTGCTGTCAGGTCTTAACGTGATCGTTTTGAACTTGAAGAGTAATTGAGTCTTGGCTTCAAGTATGTCGAGTCCTAAGCTCATTTCCAGGGGAAGCGAAGCCCAGTTTGACCAGTAACTTCAGCTAAAAACAGCTGCCCAGCAATGATTTTATATTTTATATATAAAACATAAAATTTTGGGGCACCTGGGTGGCTCAGTGGGTTAAGCATCTCCCGCATTGGGCTCCCTGCTCAGTGGAGAGTTTGCTTCTCCCTCATCCTCTGTTCCTCTCTGCCCTCAGCCCCCGCTCATGCTCTCTCTCTTTCAAATAAATAAATAAAATATTTTTTTAAAAACCATAAAATTTTATATGTAACTCTGATCGATAAGCTTGCTTAGTACAGATATGATTATAGAGTTAGAATTTTGGGAGTTGTGAGCAACCATGTGTTCTTTGTGGGAGAAAGACACAGCCAGGCTGAATCTCCTGAGAATAACGAGTCACTTTCTCAGATGCCCTGTCATTCCAGTCTCAGGGAACACTGCCATAAGCCCTGTGCAGGGTGGGGGCTGGGCAGTGGTTAAGGGCCCTGTGCTGTATTTGATCCTTACTAAATTGTGAACTTAGGCAAGTGACATAGCTTTTTCAAGCCTTGGTGTCTTTCTCTGTAAAGTGAAGAACAAGTTCACCACAGGCTTATTAATGATCTTTGAACAAGTAAAGCACTTTGTATGGTTCCTGGCACATAGTAAGTGTGTGTTAAATGTTAGCTGTATTAATATTATTGTAATCGTTTTGTTGTTTTTACTGTTCTTTAGTTTCTATGGAATATGGCTGGTCTGGTATTCCACAAGTAGAGTTTACAACTCTAGCAAACTAGAACCTGTTGTTCTGGTGAACCCTCAAAAAGATAATCATCATTTCATTAACCTGACTGGAAATAAAGATCTGTGTGTTCATTCAACAAATATTTAGCGGGCTTCTGCTGTGTGCCAGGCACTTAACTAAAACAGGATACTGTGTGATATGAGCAGTTGGTGAGAGGGATACCTTAGTGGGGTCAGGAAGGGCCTGTCTGAGGAAGTGACATTTGATCTGAGACTTGAAGGATGAAAAGGGGCCAGCCATGCAAAGAGTTGAAAAAAGAAGGATCCTGGCAGCGAGGACTGCGGGTGCAAAGGCCCTGAGGTAGGAACAGGTTTGGCAGTTTGGAGGAACAGAGAGGAGGGCTGGCACGGCTGGAGTTGGATGAACAAGGTTCAGAATGTGATGGGAGGGATTTTCTCCCTGAAGCCTACACTTTGTTCCATCCCTGGGAGTACTTGAAGAAAAGGGCTGTTGCGGGGCTGACTTTGGCATCTAGGAAGAGGTGTGAGGGGACCAGAGGTCTGGCACCTGCCTCACTCGAACCTTCTGAAGGCCCCTTACGCAGAAACTGCAGTCCATGAGGAAGAGACCCTTCACTCCACAGCTAGGTTCTCTGATTTCTCAGACAAGAATGTGGTTCACATTTTTGTCCCAACAGTGGCCCAGCTGTGCTCTGATGCTCTGTGCCTGAAGCCTACTTTCTTCTTCGCCAAAGTAGGACAGCTGAAAGCTAGCTGCCCTGGAGAAGTGCCAGAAAACAGTCCAGCCAAATGGAGTCTGTTTCTTGGCGGTGTGGGGGGATTAATGAGCTCTTTCCTTTGTGCCAAAGGTAAGGAAGCTATTAAAACACCGGGGCTTGGTGGAATAGAGCAGCAGGTGGGAGCCTGGACTTGGGTATCAGCTCTGACTTCACCACTTCCCCGCGCATGTGACCTTGGGCAAATAACCTACCTGTGCCTTGCCTTTGCTTTCTCATCTGTAGAACAGGGACAGTAGGGCCCATGCTCAGAATAGTGCACCCAGGAGATGCTGGCTATCATTATCATCACCTTCCAATTTTAAGTCACCGTGAGATGAAGTCCTCTTTCCTCTAATTTTTTCTCAACAGTTAAGATGCTTGGATTTGACTCCTGTTTCTCCACATCTTGGCCGGATTCTTGCCCAGGAGCTTGGCGTCTGGCAGACAGCCAGGCCTCAGATGCCAGAGCAGCTCTGCTCCTGGGGGCGGGGACAGGTTATTTGATGCCAAGAAGCTGAGCGTTGACAGGATATTTGTTGCCAGCCATCAGAAACTGCGTGGCGCCCCCACGGTGGTGACTGCTCCTGCCAAAGGGCCTAGCACCCAGGAATGGAGATTTTTTCAGAGCTCCCTAATTTCCATTCACTGAATGTACCTGAGAATCACCTAGGAATCTTGTGAAAATGCAGATTCTGATTCATCAGGTCTGGGGAAAGGCTGAGGGTCTGCATTTCCAAGGAGCTCCTCGGGGATGCGGATGCTGCTGGATGCCACTGCCCACCCCCACCCCCACCCCCCCCCGACCAGTTCTGACCTGGCCTGCTTCTCAGACCTCAGAATCTCGGGCCCCCCTCACTGAATCCAGTCTGCATTTTCACCAAATCCCTTAATGCTTCACTGTGTTTTACAGTTTGAGAGCCTAGACCCAGGGTTTTTCAACCTCAACGGCATTGACCTTTGGGGTGGGATCATTCTTCGTTGTGGGGGTTGTTCTGTGCGTGGTGGGACGTTTCGCAGCACCCCACTCCCAGTCATGACCAAAACCGTCTGTAAATGTTCTCTGGGGTAGGGGTGGCAAATCACCCCCCAGTGAGAACCAGTGGCCTAAAGCCCTCAAGCTCGACTGTGCCCACAGATTCGCAGACCCTGCGGCAGAGATCATGGCTACTTTAGTTCTGCGTGGGGTCAGGATCTGTACCAGGCCTTCCCAGCAGGATGCATGCAATTCGTTACATCGTTGCTTGTTGGCATAGCACATCTAGACTGGGTCTTGGGTTTCCACCCACCCACCCAGTGGGGGTGTGAGGACCTTATTGAGCCAGCCTTCCAGAGAGAGGATGTGGGGTTCACTGCTGAATTAGTTGATGTTGCTTAGAAAGACAACCACGTGGGCCACCCACCTGGCCTTTTGTTGGGCCTGGTGTTGTCTGTCTGCATGAGTGGAGCTCCTATGTTTACTTAGGGTTCTGTATGGCAGGGTCAGGGAGGCACATCCTCTGGTGTATGCTCTGCAGAATTCTGGAGTGGTGTCGGCTTCTGTTTCTGTCCCTCCCCTCGCCCCTGAGTGTTTCTGAGTCATTTTATACCACATCTTGATCTCCATGACCAGATGGACTAGATCACCGGATGCCTGGGGGCAGGGATAGAGGCATCTTTTTTTGGTCTCTTAAGCCCGGCAGGTGGTAGGTGCTCTTGTTAAATAGATTCCAAGAACCTCATTCAGTCACTGGATATCTCTTTGGGGGCCTCTTGGGTGGTGGGCACTGCCTCGGGCATGGCATGTAAGGGGAAAGCAGCAAATTGAGACGATTGGGGTGGCGGGGGGGGTTCTCTTCACACAAGACCCTGGCTATGGAGGGAACATTTATTAAATTCCGTCTCCTGCCCAGTCCTGTGGGATCTGGAACACTAGCCTTGACTTCATGGCACTTTCTGTTCTGTCTGGGGGATGGGGACTAAACATACAAATGGCCAAACAAGCTAAATAATTGCAAGCGGACTAGAATTACTACTGTCTCACGGCTGGTCCAGCAGGAACCAAGACCCCTGAGCCAAATGTAGGCTCACGTGCCCTTTGCCAGTGGCAAGCCAGCAGGTCCTTTGAGAGAGTCTGCTTTTCCTTGATGTGTAGCTGGTAGGTGATCACAGGGTCTTAGAGGCCCAGTGGACGTCTCTGCCGATCGAAGGCGTGGGCATGTGTTTTATTGGATCACTCACGTGAACAGTAACATGTAGCTCTGAGTGCCAGGCCCTATTCTAAGTTTTAAATTCCCGTAACAACCTTAAGGCGTTGGTACTATCATTATCCCCTT